GGATGATTGGAAAGGAAGAGATCGAGAGAAAATTGATATAAATTGGGATTGGTAAAAGTTGTATGAATAGAATTTTGTTTTGTTCTCTTTTGGATTTTAGTTGTGGATGGGGATGAAGATTAGGTGGGAGATTATATATTTGGCATAATTCTGTAACTTGAAAAGTATTATTTTGTTGAATCTTTGTTTAACTCAAATTTGGATTTGTTTGTTTTAAATAGGGATTAATTAGAAGATGGTTAGATAGAAGAAAATCAGATTGAAGAACGAATATCGTCATTTCCTTTGACTTTGATGTAAATATTTATTCTTATAAAATTCGAGCTTCATTTTTATTTTTGGCTTTCGTTAATTTTTTAACTAATTGGTTACAGATGTCTATTTGTGAAATGTTTTAGTACGAAACAAGAGTAGAGAGAAAGATGTATAAACGTACGTAAAAAATACGAAAGAATGCTTCAGTTTCACGTTAATGCTCGTTTGGATTTTAACATAGCATAGACTTTTTGTTTGAAGGATCAAAAGAGACTTATAAATATGGAAAAGAATAAAGTTAAGTAAGTTTATTCGTTAAGTTTATAATGAATTTTATATTTGAAAATAAATATCGATTAAATTTTTCCATATATATATAAATATATATATATGAAATTAATTTATTCTTATTTTCATAATAACGAAAAATAAACTATTCGAACGAAATAAATAGATTAAAATTAAATATAATTACAATGTAGGATAGTTTATTTTCAATAAAAATTTAATCGCATAATATTTATCTAATAAAAAGAGCTTCGAATGTTTTCGACAAAAATACTGATAGATGATTCTAAAGATACTAGAGATTAGAATAGTGATTAAAATTCCTAATACGATTAAGATATTGATAGAAAATACTAAAAAATATTATCATAATTTTAATCTAATTTACAATCTAAATGTTTCCTAATTAAAATACCGACCTATTACTTTTACACTTGCTATTTGATCGCCTTGCCATTCAAACGATCTACGAATCATCTTTCACATTAATTCACTTTGAACGAAAGATCATCACGAACAACTTTATTAAAATTCAAACGATTATACTCTATAATATATAATCATATGCATACGCAAAACTGCTTTCAAGTTTTAAATAATTTTTAAATTTTCATTTTAGATAATTTCTACAAAACAATGTCACGTAATGATACGTAAAATGAAAGTTCACTTATAAAGATAACATTACTAGTCGATAGCAATAATGCCAACGATAAAATTATCGTTAGATTTAATTTTTAATTTAATGAACAAATTATCTAGAATAATACAAAAAAAAGATCTATATTTGAATTTTATCTCCCCGTTCTATGAAATATTATTATTTAATTCGCAATAATTGCGCTACAATCGCAATTTTTTCTTTTTTGTAATTTTCATCGAGAGAAAAATTTCTTCGTCCGCAATATTCATTCGTAATGATTAATGCTGCAAGTTTTTATTAATTTTATCGAAGAAAAAAAGTTGTTTACTTTGATTCAAGTTGCATCGATTGTTTCAAGATGTTGATTACAATCTTGAATTTTATCACAATTTTACAAGAATTAAAAAATTCCCCCACTTTTTTTATTTTTATTAACATCGTACAATATAAAAAATGATCATTGGAGAATTTCTTGATTCGACAAATGTATGTGTTTTCATCTTGCGTCAGAGAGAATGTTTTCAAATAACAATAATTCGTCAATAATGTCTTGCAAAACAAGGAAAAGAGAGTATATTTCGTACGGCAAACATTTTCTAAGAATACATTACAAGACTTTTCGACCGATTAATCACCATCAGACAGCTTTAATTTTTATTAAATTAATCAAGAGACATTGTTTGCCTCGAGCATACGAAAATATCATCGTTAATAATTTGTCAATAAATCATCACGTGTGAAACGATGAAAGAAAATAACGTATTATAAAATAACGTTTACGTCTTGGAAAACATTTCAACCAATCTGTCTGACCAAAGACGTAATCATTCCACTTGTGCGCAAGAGACAAAAAGAGAGGGGACGAATGAAAAAAGACAAAAAATCCGAAAAAACGATAGTTTCACGGAGCAATGTAAACATTTGTTTAACGATACAATTTCTTTGTTTGAAAGTTCCTTTTGTCGAAAATCCTTAGACATCATCATCATCCACCTTTGCTTAAATCGCTAATCGAGATATTGGTTTATTGCCGATCTTTATCAACAGTTTTATCAGGTTTTATTGATGAAATAATACAAATGGCAAGTTGTGCAGCGGCAATATAGAAACACGACATGAAGTCACTAATTGCATTTCGGTTCGTGAACAGAACGTGATAGCAAACCGTGCAAATAGGATCTTCCGAGAAGACCGGCCGTCTAAATCCTTGTAAATACGATTTTACTGGCTGCGGATACAGGGGATTACGTGTCGCCACGTATCGTGGATTACATCTAATTGATCGTAAAATGCGAAAAATCTGAATATTTCTTTGTAATCGAGTTTTCGTGATAATATAAGTTAAAATAATTGTTTAATCGAAAGAGAAAGATATAATATTAATTTATTTATGAAAGAGTATCGATCGAAAATTTGTTTTTCCTGTCGGGCGTGTATCTTAATCTTTTGATAATTTTGTTATTAAAATTATGTTGTTTGAAAGTAATATGCCGGTGAATTTTTTCAAAATTAATCATTTTCTTTATTGCTATGATTTTTTTTTAACTTTAAATAGATACTTTAGGAATTTTTAATAATTTTTTATTAGAACTTTTTAACGTGATTCTCTCTTTTTTTCCAAATTGTTGCAACGTGTATTTCTTTTGTTTTCGAATAGTAACATCTTCTTCTAGAAGAACTAAATGAAATGGTATTCTCGATCGATTCTGTATTCAATTTTTTCAACGAAAAATCAAGAATCGCTTTTACAAGATAAACTCCTTAATTTTTTAACGAGTTTTTATTTATTCCGGTTGTCTCGACCATTCAGACATTCAGACTAATCCTTTTCTCTTATCTTCAATGATTCCAGAGTATAAAAACAAACATTAACTGTCTACGTTTTGATATCGAAAATTATATCATCGATGAGATAACAATCTTCGATCTTCCAAAAAAGAAAAAAGAATGATACTTAAGAATTTGCTAGAATCTGTTTTTATATAATACTTATTAAAATTATTAAATCAAAAATTAATTGATTTCAGATTTTCTATTTTTGCAATTAATAAAAATATGCAGGTAATTTTTAACATTCTTAGCATTTATTAAAAAGAAGAAAAAAAAGAAGAAGAATCGAGTATTTATTTTAATTCAATTTGTAATATTAAGAGAGGAAAATTTCACTTTTTACGTATAACAAATATAAAAACAAGTATCCTAACATTTCAGTATCTTAATTTTAATAGCAATCTCTTTGATAAATAAAATTTTCGAAATGTTTTATTTTTTTTTTTTTTTTTTTTAGATAAGATCAATTTTTCCAATCACTTATCGTTCATCGTACCGCGTCAAGATTATTTTTAACTTCACCTACTACTATTACTTATCCTCTAAAAAGATCACGTTGACAAGACGTTTTACCGAACGCTAAATATTGGCGAAACATGTTTAAACAATTATTGTGCCTGGATATTCGGCCTTGCTAAACTTTCAAGCTGTAACATCCGAAGAGATAAGGCGCGTCATTGATAAAAATATTTAAAAGCGATCGAGGCGTTTATCTGGCGCGAACACGCCTTTATTATGCGACACAAATTAACGATGTCTCCTGACGTCGATAAACGTCCGTTTTGTCGACGATTATGCAACGTTTTTCGTTCGTTGCTTCGCATTCGATAGTTACTTGACAACTATCGATGAGAAGGGACTGTGTGTCGATAAAAAAATTTCGATATTTTGGAATTCTTATCTGTTTGACACTTGAGTCATTATTTTTTGTTTTTTTTTGTTGAATAATTAACAATAATTGAACTACTTTTATCTATTTAATTTGTTTTGGTTGCAATTATTATATACAGTTAAAAAATGTTTTCCAGGAAGTGTTACATATATTCATCGATTAGAAAGATAATTTTAAAAATGTTTTAAAGCGTTCTTTTTTTTTTTTTTTGCTGTAAAGTACCTTCATACATTACAATCGAAGTTTGTACAAGTTGAATCGAAGAGATTAAATATATTCCTTCCTCGACGAATAATAATCGAAGGAATTACTTTCTGATTGTTTTGATTTAATCTTGGTTGCATGTCTTGCTTGTGAATTTAATTATAAAACTTGTGCGATGACGTTTTCGTTGACTAATTCTTCTAATTGCGGATGTAAAAGGCGGATAATAAATAATCTGTTTATTAAATTAATTCTGTAAGGTTTTGAGAATTTTTTTTTTTTTTTGCAACATTGTAATAAAAGATATATTTTTTTAATAAGTTATACTTGTATACTTATACCTTTCTATAACATACGATCGAAAAGTGTTCAAAGACTTTGAATTTCTGGATTCGACGTTTTTCAAGAATTTAAATTATTAAATTAAACTACGTTAATTTTCACAATACAAATGATTTTAAAAGAAAATAAATTTTAATAGTTTATTTATATAGATTAAAATATTGTAAAAACTTGTCTTTTTAATTGACTCATCGATATATATATATATACACACACAACAAATTTTTAATTAATTGTCGAAAAATATTTTTTTCCTCTCCGTGTAAAAACACAATATAAATCAAGTAACGAAGTGAAACAGAATATAATTTACGATCAAAGATGTTAATAATAAAATTAATCAATATATATATATGTGTGTACGTACATTTTATCATGCTCAGATTGTCTAAAAATTCGACAATCGTAAGATATCGTGTTCAAATCGTTAGAATCGCTGATAAAAGTTGGAAATAGTATAAAAGTTGGTCAAATCGTTCGAGCGTTTGCAAGACGTTTGCTTATCTAATCGAACGAAGACGTAATAAGAACGAAAAGAATTCATACCTTAGATATCGACCGATGAGAATGTTGATTAGGGCAAAGAAGGCCGCTCGATTCTTCTGGAAGATCTTGAAGCTCGTCCATGTTCCGGTTATCGAATTTCTGATTGATTCCTTTCATAATCCACTGCTCCTTTTCTCACCCTCGAACTTCTTTTCTAGAGAGATGAATTTCAATCTATATATTTCTCTTCAAATTTTTCAAAACAAACGAATCGAATAACGGATAAAATTTGAGAGAGAAAAACGAGTATTTTTTTTCTTTTTTTTAATCTTTCGAAGATATCGATATATGGATCGAACAATTTTTGGATTGCGATTCGAATAATGATCTCGACTCGAAGCTTGTGAGGCAGACTTTTTAAGTAAGTTTCCTTAAAAGAAAAGCTATGAATTTTCACGAGTTTAAAATTACGGAACGCGTCGTACAACAGGCGACGATTGATTAAAACTGAAGATTCATAAAGATTGTTCGTGCCTGTTGGTGAAGCAGAGTCGAAGTGGAATATTAATTTTCCTGGCAGAAAACGTGTTTACAATGCTTGAAATGAATACATACTGACCGATACTTAAGATTATCTGATTACTGTCGTGAATTGTGGGGGCTGCGTCTGGGGCGATTGTATTGCGAATTTTTTTATCGAATTATGATTTCACTGCTCGTCAATAATATTGGTATAATTAACGATATGGTCGAGCACAGCTGTATTATGTCAAAGGGGGAACGTAAAAAGATATTATATCGACAAGATTAAAGAATCTTTGGAAGAATTGTTATAATGAGAATCATTACAATCATTCTTTATGTTTCTTGCAAACTTACTTTTTTTTCTCTCTTTTTGGATCTTATTTTAATTCATTCAACATCATTATTAACAAGTTGTTATTAAATTACTATTTGTGATAACAGATATCGATAAATATAAGAGAAATTAGCATATAAAGACGTAGCAGTTATTTCTCTAATTTTACGTTTTTTCAACAAACGCTCTATATCTTTCATAGACGAAGTCAATACAAATACAGGTTCGACATCGATAACCTCTATCCATCGTGAAAAAGCAAACAATCCGTTTCGAGAGTTAGTCGAACAATACAAGAGATTGAATACGTGCATCCATCGAGCTTGATATTCGAATATGCTCAATATGATAATGAGTTTGCACTCAGTCAGAGATATTCGTCCTTCATCGTTGAACGATTTTGAGTCACCCACTCTTTACAAAATGGCCGTCGAAAACTTGGTGATGCCTTGCATGATAATCCCCAAGTCTTTGCACTTTAATGGATTTTGCGTTTTGTTGCGCGCAGGATAAATTATTGTGGGGGATAAATCATCTTATCGCTGAACAAGTTTCCATTGGGAGAAGAAAAATAAAATTACGTCATAATGGAATACATCTGCTGTGATTCAATTCTCTCTCACTCTCTCTCTCTCTCTTTTTAATAATTTAGAAAATGTCAAAGAAGATAGCCGATAATTAAAAGTTTTTTTTTTAATTGAATCGATAGTTTAATTAATTGAGATGTGATAAATTAATTGATAAATAAATGATAAATTAATATATTTGCGGCTGATAATTTTATGGAAATATTTAATATAAAAAACTATAATTAAAAAGTTTCGTCTATTAATTTTTAATTTAAATAAATACAAAGATTTGATTTGTGCTTTTTATTAAAATGTATGTAAAAAGTTACAAAGTTAAACAAATTTGCAATGTATTAAAATTAAGAACAGTGATAAATTTAAAATTTTAAAATTGTAAGTAATTTTATGTTTCCATGATCCATGAATTTTTCTCTCTTAATTCTTATTTTCTTAAAATCATTTCGTAATATTAACGAGTTAAAAATGAATCGTATATGGATAGTATAAATAGTATGTTCGTCTGATCAAAAATATCCCAGTCTGGTCAGTGATTACCGACAGTGTTAGTCAGACGCGCCTAAGGAATAGGCAACCAAGCGTACAAGGTTCGAGTTGTATCTGCCAATTCAAGGTGCTCAATAAACAGATGTCTGTTTTATCACTGGCAGAAATATCTACTCTTTTGATAAAAAAATGTATAAAAAGAATTATTTAAAATAATTATTCTTACCGATATCTATTCAATCTTTTAAAATTTTCAAATTTTACATCAGAAAAGAGAAAAAAATATATTGCTACATATTATATTTATTAATATTAATAATTAAAAGTTAGTGGAATTACAAACTTTGCAATATTAATCTCGAAATACACGAAATATTCATAAAACTATGAGATAAAGAATTACATTCGATCATGTTTCTTTTTCTATAACGAATGTTAGATTTTCGCTTTGTTTGCGGCATGGACCAAGATAATGCTGACGTAACGATATAGACAAAAGTTACATAACGATAGCATAATTTTTTCCTTGTCGCGATTCTCGCAAGAATCGTTTTCCGCTATTTTAACTTACGATCCTTGCGTTACTCGAATCTGTGAAAAAGCAACAGTTATTTCTATCAAAGATTCGCTCACAAATTTTTCCTAAATTGTACCAAAAAAAAAAAAAAAAAAAAGTAAGAGTATATATCTCAAATCACTTACACTTCATTCCTCTAATTCTTCTTTTTTTTTTCCAGAAAAATTCACTAAACATCATCGTCCCAAAGAATCACAAAAATGAATGGCGCAGTCGCGCGTGTGGGGAGCACTTTCGATAAAAAGATAAATTAAAAATAGCCAATGCTGTTCGCCAATTCTTCAATGGAAATATTCACCGCAAAGTGAAACTCCGTAAGTCAAGTTCCGTTCAGAGTTAGAAGATTTTCAGCCGGAACGAATCGCAAATTACGTTTCAGAGTACAATGTACCATTGGACAAGTGTTGTGCTCCTAGACGAAGAAAACCGTGGATACGGAATGACACATGGTACATGAGAAGGCCGATGCCGAGAAGAAGGTGCACGTGTGCACGTCTATACACGGGAGATCTTAGCTCTGCTTTCAGTCCAATCTTATCGTGCGTTCCGCTCACATCTCCTCTATACAACAGTACACATATTACCGATTTGACTAACGGTTTCCCGTTGAAAATTTTCGAGCGTGAATAGTGCGTGAATGTGCGACATCCCACGGCGGAATTCAAAATTCGTCTCGAGCCTCGAAGAAACTCGATCGTTTACAACGTTTGTTCAAAATACAATGATAAATTCTTACTTCTTGCTGAGATAATGAGAGTGGAGACTCGACGAGATTGAATTATTCGGGGAAAATAAATTTGAAAGAATCTCTGTTATTCTTCGCCGCGGGAAGATAATCGCGGATAATCTTTCTATCCTCGAATCGGTCGAAACAGGTATATATAGGATCTCTTACCAATGATCGATCAAACAATATAACAATATCTCTGTCCAACCTGTATCGTTAGAATTTCATCGAAAAGTCGTTATCGACCGTATCTCAGATAAACGTTGACAGAGGATATCGGAAAGCTCGAGTCATCAAAATCAGTCATCAAAGTCTATGGACAGAAGTAGTTTCGAGTTTCTCTACGAGGAGAATTTAGAACTTGGGGAATTAACCCAGGAGAACTCGTTGCTTTTCGAAATTTTTCCCATCGTTTCGTCCATCGTTTCGAGAGAAAGGAGAATGATGGATCGTCGAGTGGATCGATCGACCGATAATTAAACGTCAATCGTATATTTAGTGGTGAGACGTCGATTGATATTCGAGAGGGTGGTTCAGCGAGTGGAAAAGAAAAAAAAAAAATAAAAAAATAAAAAATGTTGACGTCGCCTGGCATGAGCTTGATGGTGGCCGGTGTCGCCTCCGGGATATGTTTTCTCATCTACACCAGCGTTCTAAAGGGGTGAGTGCGAATTAACGAGTTTCTTAACTTTGTTTCTCCGTGAAAGAAGGATCCTCCGATCGGAATGGGCCGAAAATGGAGGACGCAGGTGGCGGTAAAAGTGGGTCGACGATACGTGGAATCTGACTGTGTTAACTTTAATCGATTTCATTCAGTTTCATAAAATATCTCGCGGTGATTACCATCTTTCTTTCTTTTTTTTTTTCCCCTCTTTTATTTACGACCAGTTTTAACAATTTCTGGTTTAGGATAAAATATGCTTTTGAACCTTGAAGTTATCACAGATAGACGTTAATGGCGCGTGACGTTAGCGTGCACATGCTTCGTTTGTTTGTGATGCGTGTTTTAAATTCGTCACGGTTTCTTCTTCTTCTTCTTCTTCTTCTTATTTTTCTCGTTCTCTCTCTCTCTTTCTTTCTCTCTTTCTTTTGTTTTTTAATTTCGTTTTGTTTGGAAATTTGAAAACGTGCATGTATCGATGGTACTCGAGGCCGTGAAATTTAGAAATCGTTTCCGTTTACAGGATTCCAATCGATTTATTTCTCTTTCGATTTAACGGTGCTTCTGCTGGAATGTCAATTTTCCATACTTACCGTTGGAAAATGTTTTCATTTTGAAAATCTCTCAAGAAAATTAACGTTTCGACAATCGGTGTAAATATATTTGAATGGCGCGACGCGAGTCAAATGGTTTTGACACAAAGGATTTGATTAACATTTAACCATTAATTTTTCTAACTCTTGCTCGTCGAGCAAATTGATTTTTTCCATATAATGAAATTCATACTTTTAATATTTATTGCAGGAGAAATACTTTAAGATTCTTTTTTTATTTTCTCCTCTTTTATTTTAATCTAATTTTGATGATTATTATGAAAAAGATAAAATTTAAAGGGGAATAAAATCGAAGATAGCCTTTCTAGAAATATTAGAAAATGCGATGAAATTTATCAGAAAATAAAGACAATATTTACTATTTATATTTAAGTCCTGTAAATAATCTGGAATTAGATATAGTGTAGAGAACTCATTAGAAACTTTGACTTGAAATATTAGAAACTTATAGTAGATAAATTATATCACTTTGACATTGTTTTCCAATGAATTGTACGATAATCGAATGTCTATTGTTGAATGAGAAGCGAAAAAAAAAAAGATGAAATTTTATCAAACAAATTATTCAGATATATTCAATTCATTTATTACGAATGAATTGATACAAATGATTGTTGAATAATTTCATAATTATGCAATTTTGTGTTACGAGCCACACAAAGCCAAACTTTTTCTTCTGATATTTTTCATTGTGTTTCTTTTTTTTTTTATCAATGAATAGTGTAGACTCTATTACGAAAAAAAAAAAAAAAAAAAAGAAGAATGTCGCCTGTAAACATCTCCTTATTTTGTTTCCAAATTGCAAACTACTTTCCTCGATTTTTTTCCTCGATTCAAAATAAATTCGAAAGCCGCGATATATTTGATACACGAATACCAATCGTAAAACTGAAATACTTCGCATTATCTCTCGGATTAGAAGATAATAAGATTAGATTGTAATAATTGTATTTCTGATTAACACGTAAAATAGCACGCTGTTACTAATTATAGTTTTCGAGCGACGAATAAATAAAAAGCTTCGAAGGCGAAAACGTGATTCGACTTTTAATCAGAAAAAGAAAAAGATAATATAAACAAATAAACCTAATTAAAAAAAGTCGACGATTTTTGATGAAAACAATGATCCTGATAGAAAAAGATTTCTCTACATCCGAGTATTGTTTCGTCTGCTTATATCATATATTATTACACCAGTAAGTAATAACCAAGCTTGTTATTCTCTTTTTTTCTATTCTTCCAATTATTAACGTTTATCAACTGTTGGACGATCAACATTTACGTTTTGTATTATACTTATATTTTAAAAATAATTTTACTATCAAAATTATATATATTATTATAACGCTAAAAGACCGTGAAAAAATTGATATTAAATTTCCTTTTCTCTTTTCATATTTCAGTAAATGAATTTCTGAAAAACAAAACAAAATAGTAAAACAATATATATATATATATATATATATATATATATATATATATA